ATACTATCTAACGTGGATCCTAAAACCAGTAGAAGTCAAATTATATCATAATTCTTATGTTCTAATACATATCATGCAAATCCAAAAATATATTAAACCATTATGAATATTTATGATTACGTGACAGAAAATAAAAATAACTAAAATACTATACGGTTAAATCAGAAAAGAGTAAATTTTATGTTAGTAACCTTATTAAACCTATAAATAATGTTGTGAACCATCACATAAGTACATGATTGATAATTGTAATTTTTAATGTCATTGTTTTATTTTTCATAGAGATTTATATTCGCCAAACTTTATACAGTATTAACTTAATAGTAAATATAATATTATTGTTTTTTAACTTATATAATTTTCAATATATACACTTGAAGAGTACCAATGACGTCATAGGTCAAAAAATTTCATTGTCTTTGTGATATTCTGTAACTCTATATTGATAAAATAAATATTCTTATAGATTTTATTTTTATTTTATTTTTTCATGGTTGTGTATATTTTTAATTTTAAATTGAGGTTTCTATAAGTTTTCTAACTTTTGTTTTTCCAATTTATATACCTTCTTTTTTATCATTAGTCTTTTAATTTATTTTAATTGAGATGTTTATTCTATATGTATTATTTGTTTATTTTATAACTTATGTTATGTCTATATTTCATGGAGTAATTGCAAAATACCACTTTTAGTGTGTACAATTTCAATAATACAATTTAGGGATGTCCATTTGTAAAAATAACACTAATTATGGATTTTTAAAGCCTAAATCTAAAAATTATAAACCCTAAAAAATGTTTTGACCCCTACAACCCCTTAAACCTTCAAAACTAAACCCTAATACAACATAGTTAACCCAAACATAAATGATGTAATGAAATTTTTTTTTTAAAAGTGAAATTTTTGTAAAGATTTTGAAAATGTGGCATTTTTGAAAAGTGGCATTTTAAAAAAAATTCTCATATTTCATCTTAAACTTTGTTTCTTAATTATTATTGATAATATTAGAAATTTTACTTTTTATTATTTGATTAGTAACTTCACAATTACTTTTCAGTTTAAATTTTATTTTTCTTAATTAATTTTAAGGTTTAACACATTCTTCATATGATCAATATTATATACATGTCGTGATCTCGTGAGTTATAATTTTGCTTACGTATCATGCTGATATAAAAATGCATTGCGGAAAATATTTTTGATTTTAAAATTTGTAATGCCTATAATTTGACAAATATAATTAGATTTTAAATTACGAATCGCACAAA